GGAGGGGCTGGGATGGAATTCCCAGAGAAGCTGTGGCTGCTCCATCCCTGGGAGTGTCCAAGGCCAGGTTGGAGCAACCTGGGATAGTGGGAAGTGTCCCTACCCAAGGCAGGGGGTGGGACTGGATGGGCCTTACGGTCCCTTCCCACCCAAACCATCCTGGGATTCTCTGTTAGAAGCTGACAGAAGATCCATGGGGACAGGAAATACCAGGAAGTCTGTAGCACCTGTTGGCTCCAAAGTTAATTGTCAAAGCCTTCAGGGTCACCTCTGCTGAATATTTGCCTTTTCCCTTCGTTTTTCCATGAAAAACGTTCTTTTCCCGTTTCCCGGAGCATCCCAAGCCTGCCGTGGCAGCACACGTATGGAATGTGAATGCCATCTACTGGCTGCTGTCCCGGGCCTTGGAGCAGGTGTTCCCTGTCCAGACTCCATCCATCTGATCCCGCAGGAATTTCATTGAGCACACAGTGAGCTGGCCCAGCTCTGCTTGCCAGGGACAGCGGATTTGTTGGGACTCCCTTTTCCTCAGGGATTCCAGGATGTGCACAGCGAGCCCTGCACCCGGCCCCCTTCCCAGCACTGCAGTTCCTCTGGGAATTCCGTGCCGAGCCCAGCTCCTGCAGAGTCCTGCCCGTCTGGAGGAGGCAATATCCAGGATCGGGTCCTTCCTGGTGCTGGGTGTTTTCCCAAGCAGCTTTTTTCCAGTCTCTCTCCCATCTCCACGTGCTCTTTCCCCTGGAATAACACGTTTCCTGTTCCCTGCCAGTGTGTTTTTCCCACCTACGAGCCGAACACTCCCGCGAGGGGGAGGATGTGACCCTTTTGGAAAGTCACTGCTTGTCAGTGCGAGCATCCTGCTTTTATTTCCCTGGATTTGGAGCTCGTTTTTAGGCGGTGCCCACTGGGACACTCCGCGAGCCCTGCGGGTCGCAGCGACGCGGATCCCCCCCAAAAATTCCTTTCCTACCTGTACAAACCCGCCACAGGAATCGCTGGCTCGTCCAGCGGTGCCGATGGCTTTGACATTCCAGCAAATCCAGCTGTTCCCGGCGGCGGATCCAGCCGGGAGAGCGCTGGATCCGGGCGATGCGCGGCGCGGGCTCCAGAGGGCCCCGCGCACCAGGAGATGGACGGAGGGAGATTCCCTGCGGATTTTTCTCCACTGGGAAACCAGAAAGGGTAAGTTCACACCCCCCTCCCAGCCTTAAAGACGGGCTGAGGTGTTTCTTGTTTTGTTTTTGTTTTTGTTTTTTCCAAAAGCCGGGGTTACAGAATCCCGGAATAGTTTGGGGTGGGAGGGATCTTAAAGCTCATCCAGTGCCAACCCTGCCGTGGGCAGGGACACCTCCCGCTATCCCAGGGTGCTCCAACCTGGCCTGGGACACTTCCAGGGAT